TGTAAACAGTCAGTAGTCGTGATTATCTGATCCATGCATTATATTTGTTTAGGCAAACTTCTACCCATGATGATTAGTTTGCATAAACAAAGAAAATTTTGAGGTTGGGTCTAAAGAAGCATGTTGCCTTACAATGTCAAATTATCTTTTCTTAAAACTGGTAATAAATGTGCCAATGAATCAATATATAGTATATAATCTACTGTATGGAAGTATAAAAGAAATTACTCTTAGAAATGACACAAGGAAATTTTCATGGACAATAGGTTATATTAATGCATTATGATAAAAATCAAGTTTAAGTCCACAAAACCATAATTAATTGAATATATTGGGTGATTAGACAATAACCTAAGTCATAAACTATGGCTTAGAAACATAATAGCTCACTTCACAGAATAAACTAAAGAATTATGTGGTTTGTTTGATTTTGCCTTAGGTAGTTCTGTATCTTCTTCAATTGTGCTTGAATCTAGTTTGTATAATAGGAAATTAACTACCTTACATTAGTTCTGAATTGTGAATTGTGTAGTCTACAATATAAGTATTGACACAACCTTGAATTCTCTAACCTCAATCCTCCCACCTGCCCTATAATAAAGTAATGCTAATTTACTTTAGATAGAGCTGATTTAGGATCAAATTTGAATTTACAAATTTGAAGTAACCTAAGTGCCATATTATATTTGTCAAAGTATTCTTTAATTATATATCTTTAGTGGACATATTATCGAACATTAATTGCACCCAGTAATAGCTTTCTTTCTTTCAAAATAAATCCAGTAGCAATAATCTGTTTATATATTGATATTAGTACTACATCAATTTTAGAAAAGAGAAACCATGCTTTATCTTTAGATATCTTTTATCTATGGTGCAGTTGAGCACAAAAAAGAAATGTAGCTGAGCACAAAAAAGGAATATAGCTTCCTTCTATGAGACCAAACTAGACTACTGTAATGCAGCTGTACTTAATGACACGCAGTTACTGAACCACCTTCATGTCGACTGAAACATTTCAAAATACATGGACAATTTTTACTCATTTGGCTTTTGAACTACATAGGAGATAGTGATTAAGTATAAATATTATTAAATATACTGGTCTAGTGGTTAAGGCACCCGGCTAGAAAGCAGGAGTATGTAAGTTCAAGGCCCACCTTAACCATGAAAGCCAGCTGGATGACTTTGGGTCAGTCACTCGCTCAGCCCAACTTACCTCACACAATTGTTCTGGGGAAGAGGAAGAAGGTACCAGTCCATGACCTGTTAGCAACCGGGAGCACAGCTGGAGGTGAACCACAGGCAAGTAAGCTTTATCTGCATTTGCAGCTGTTCCCAGTAGGACCTGAGCCCAAGGAAGGGGTCAAACAAGTTATAAGTCACAAATCATTACGCGACCCCAAGAGAGCTAAGTCCAGACCACCTTGAATGCCTCTCTTATCTCCCGCTCATTTCCCTTCACTGTTAGTGGATCAGGTTCTTATAGAGAGCTTAAGCTTGCAATAAATATTTATATTCATTTGAACTGCCTGAATCTCCCGATTTCCCTGGCACTTGACATTCCCCAGCGCTAGTATTACCGCCTCGGCTCCACCTCAGTTCCACCTCAGATCAGGCATTAGGTTTTCATAGGAGCTTGAAACCTACTGTAAATTGTGCATGCAAGGGAACTAGGTTTTGCGTGCTCCTCCTCCCATCTCGCCAGTCCATGAAAAAATTATTATGATGCCAAAAAGGTTGGAGACCGCTGCTCTTCAACAGAACTCATGCATTATATACTGTAGCCCAAAAGTAAGCAATTTGAAGTTTGAACCACACTTCTATAATTTCTGATCATTTGTTGTGATAAGATTTAAGGAAATTGTACTCAAACATCTGGAGGACACATGTTTTATAACCCTAAAAGAGCCCTAAATATTTAAGATTTAAAAATAGCAACCACAGTTAATTATATGAATCATATTTGGAGAGCATCAGTCAGGGGAAACTGAGGTAAAAATCTGAACTGGGAACAGAGAACCTAGGACCCTCTAGAAACTGGAACTGCCTTTCAAGTTTCTGTGAGGCATCAGTGGCCTTGTGTAATCTACAGATGAAGATTAGCTTTATTACAGAACATGATGCTTAATCTGAGCTCTCCTGTTTCCAATTTAACATTACTCTAACCCAGGGGTAGTCAACCTTGGCTCCTTTATGACTCGTGGACTTAAACTCCCAGAATTCCTGAGCCAGCTAAGCTGGCTCAGGAATTCTGGGAGTTGAAGTCCACGAGTCTTAAAGGAGCCAAGGTTGACTACCCCTGCTCTAACCCCTAGTACATTGATCCTTTGACTGAATGTCAAATCATTGATATAATGGAATAAAATGTTATTAGTAATAGTACGTGTCCAGCCTGTTACAAATAATCCTTAGAACTGCTCAAATTTAAGATTTACTATACTATCATGTAGGTTATCTTTTATTTAATGACTTTTGCCACAAAAATTACCAGAAATACCTTAAGACCTATAAGATTGTTTTTTGAGGAAAGACACCCATTCCTGGAGAAGATTCCTAACAATCTATTGGGCTGGCCCAATAATTAAAAAGGTCTCAAATTATTGATTTGGATTTTAATAAAAACGGAGAAAAGAAAACTGATAATTATTTAATGTTTAATTGCATTTTTATTGCTAGGATGAAATGGAAAGGGAAGTTTGTGAGATTTTCTGCCTCAGATTTCAAAATAGTTCACCTTGGATTGTATGAAACTTGTATGATTCAGGAAGTGTCATTTCCTTTCAGGTAACAAAATGTCTTAGGCCAGCCTAGTGACAGAATATCCTGCACTTGTTGTTTTTCTCCATGTCATAAAGGGTTAGAAGAGAGGTGTGAAGGGTGGTTAAAAGAGAGGTAAAGCACACATTTGCAGAACTGTGTTTTAAAACCTGGGTCAGAATAAACACAGCTGTCATGGGACCACAAAACTGTAGAGCTTGATTTAGTCAGATTATTTTTGCTGAATTTCTTTAGGATTAAGGAAAATGAGACACAATAAGCACAGCAACAATCATGCATACAGAGAACTATAATCAGTGTAGGATGGCATGGAGGAGGAAACGGAGACTGCCAATAGGCGTGAAACTGCAGCTAAATCACTGGGCCTTCAGAAATGGTGTAGTTTAGATCGGGGTCCCCAACCCTTGGTCCATGGACTGGTACTGGGCCGTGGCATGCCAGCAACTGGTCCACACAAACAAGCAAAGCCCATCCGCGGGATGCAGGCAACACACAAAACCATGCCTTCTCCAGTCTGCGGAAAAACCTCTCTCCACGGAACTGGTCTCTGGTGCCCAAAAGGTTGGGGACCTCTGGTTTAGATATTACATTGAACCAGTGTTTCCTAACCTTATAACTTTAAGATATGTGGATGTCAACTTCTAGAATTCCCAAGCCAGCCTGCTGGCTGGGAAATTCTAGGAGCTGAAATTCATGCAATTTAAAGTTGTCAAGTTTGAGAAACATCGCACTAAACAAAAATTGTTTGGGCTTATAGCTTAATCATAGTGGTGTATAAAATGAAAATTATGCCTCAACAGTGCTTGAATCCAACTGTGTTTATTCAAACAAATCATAATTAAAATTAACAACTGTTTGGTGCAATGTACAGTTCTTTCCAATGAATCATTGTAAAACAGCTCAACACTTCTTTCCATTAAGATTTCTGACTCTTCTAGGGATGTGTTTAGTTAACAGTTTGTGTCTCCTTATTCAGTAATCTAAAACACTTTGTCTTTACATGATATGGAGACAAAAATTCCAAATCCAAGAAATTGGCCTGTATGGTATCCAGATATACATCTTATTAATTCAATGTTTTTTAAATGTTGTCAATAGCAAAAGAACTTTATTTTATCTCTTCTGCTAATTGCATCTCTGCACAGCTGATAAATGTATTATCTGCCTAAGAGTTATCAATATGATATGCACTACTTTGATACTCAAATGTATCCCATATGGCATTTTTTACCCTATGGGACCCTATTTACAAAAGTAGGTTTACACACATTTCTATGACAACCTTTCCCACAATTTAAAATAATATTGGATAGTGCATTGCCAGCCCACAAGTTAATTAGAATATAAGAATGATTTTGGTCCAGCATCCTGGGATGTGTTTTAATTGCAATTAAATTTGTAATGGTTGTCTAAGGATTTGCTGTGCCATTGTGTTATTTGTTAAAACTGCTTCTGTGCTCCAATATTGAAACTTACCCCTTGGGTTTTTGGGGGGTTTTGCTTGTTGTCACACGAATAGGCCACTACAAAGCAGAAGTTGCACTATATTGTGCCCCTTATACCCAAATGAATTATCTAAGAATAGTGCCACACAAATTTAATTTGATGTACTTGGTTTTCCTTAGATATATTTCTTAATAAATAAATAATTTATTATTTAAATAATTTATTTAAAAACGTTTGCCTTGTATTTTAAATTCAGGGTTGCCTTTTGTTAAATCCTAAAATGCCAGTGTGGGATTGATTGCTCCTTTCCTCTTGCCAAAAAAAAAAAAATACCAGTGCTGAAATAGGAGAGATCACCATGTGAAAAGTTAAGAAAAATACGATAGGAATTCTTTGACTGTAATTCTACCACGTGTATTTCGAAAAAGGCACCGGTAGGGCGGGGGCGAGGAGAGAGAAAGGCGGAACGGTCTTTGCCTTTCAAAAGAGTGGAGCGGCACTGCAGTTTTGCTCCAATCGAGGTATCGATCGTTAAATGTGACTCGGGTGTCTTGAGGAAGACGGAGGTGGGAAAAGGGGGTCTTCCCCGAATCTGAATTGAAGACCAGAAGGCGAGAGGGGCATCTAATTGGCCACAGCGAGCCCTGACCCCACCGCGCCAGGCAAGGCTTGAATGACTGCAATGCTCCCCCCGTCGCTTCTCTCTGCAGGAGCTGCCGCTCGCTGGCTGGGGCGAGCAAGCTTGCTTTTCCTCGCCTCCTGGCCTTCCCGCAATGAATGATGCAGGAGAAAAAAGAGGCGGCGGTGGAAGAAGAGGAAGAGGAGGAGGAAGGAGAGGGGGAGGCGGCTGCCACCGCCGCGGCTGTTCCTCTGAAGCACAAATCCTCTGCAACTCTTCCAGTAGGAGGAAAAGCAGCTTTGCCGCTGTGAGCTTACATCACAATCCCAGCTCTGTCGGCCGCCGCTTTTCTGAGCAGCAGGCAGGCGGGGAGCATCTCAGCGAGCCCGGCGGGGACGGCCAGCGGCGACATCATCAGCGGCAGCAGCAGCAGCCCGAGACGAAGCGGAGGAAGATGCGGGCGGGCGGAGCCGGCGAGGGCCAGGCGCCCCCTAGGATTGCCCCGCCGCAGCCGTCCCCTCACCCCGGCCCCCGGCCTCCGCTCTCCACCTTCCTGCCCTCGGCCCAGCGCTCCGCTGAGACGCTGCGTTGGGACGAGGTGCCCGACGACTTCGTGGAGTGCTTCATCCTCTCGGGCTACCGGCGGCTGCACTGCTCGGCGCAGGAATGCCTGGCCTCGGTGCTGCAGCCCACCAACGAGACGCTCAACTTCTGGACGCACTTCATCCCTTTGCTGCTTTTCGTCGGCAAATTCTGCCGTCTGCTGGTCTTGCGCGAGGCCGGCGACCTGCCTTTCCATCACCCGGCGCTGCTGCCGCTGTGGTGCTACGCCTCGGGCGTGCTGCTCACCTTTGCCATGAGCTGCACGGCCCATGTGTTTAGCTGCCTCTCGCTACGCCTGCGTGCCGCCTTCTTCTACCTGGACTACGCTTCCATCAGCTACTACGGCTTCGCCAGCACGGTGGCCTATTACTACTACCTGCTGCCCAAGCTGAGCTTGCTGGAGCCGCGCATGCTCAGTCGCTACCTGCAGCAGCGCCTGGGCTGGCACGTGGACTGCAGCGCGCCCATCGCCGCCTACAGCGCGCTGGTGCTCCCGGTCGCCTTCGCTCTGGCCGTGGCCTGCACCGTGGCCTGCTGCAAGAGCCGCTCCGAGTGGTGCGCCTACCCCTTCGCCATCCGCACCTTCGTCTTCGTCATGCCGCTCAGCATGGCCTGCCCCATCATGCTGGAGAGCCTCTTCTTCGACCTGCAGGACCACAACCCCACCCTCTTCCTGTACTTCTACCGCCGCTACTTCTGGCTGCTGGTGGCTGCTTTCTTCAACGTCAGTAAGATCCCCGAGCGGATCCACCCGGGCCTCTTCGACATCATCGGCCACAGCCACCAGCTTTTCCACATCTTCACCTTCCTTAGCATCTACGACCAGATGTTCTACGTCGAGGAAGGCTTGCGGCACTTTCTTCAAAACCCTCCGCCCACCTCGCCTACGTTTGCGGGCACCGTCGGCTACATGCTGGGCTTGATACTGTGCCTTGCTCTGGTCATCCGGAGATTTTTAAATGGCCAGGAGGTTTGCAAACAGGAATGAGGTAACTGTCCTTAAGAGGGGTTTTTTGTTGTTGTTGTTGAAGTTTTTACTTAAATTATCTGTGGCTGCTGCTTTTGCTACAAGAATCCGCGAGGTCGGCTCTTCCTAGGGAAAGAAAGGCCAAGTGCTAACGGGCGTGCCCTGATCGAACTCCTTTGAAAAAACGGCTGTTTCTCTTGAAACAAAACAGGTTTTAAAAAAAGAACACTTAGGCCACCGTTCTATAGGCAACCTTCTATTTATTGCTGCTTAATATACAAAGAGAAGCCATTCTAGAATTACTGCTTGAAATTTACATTTTGATCCTTATTACATTATTTGTAAGTAATCCTCCTTCTCTGAATTCCTTTTAATGGACTCAAGATCCTGTTTTTTCAGGGGAAATAATATGCACAGACAATGTGAATACGAGCTGCTGGTTTCAGTCTGACTACTTTATGGTATTGTTAGTTAGCAATATACAACAGATCTGCACTGATAAAACAGCTGATATTTAAGATCTGATTTGCATGCAAATCTTGGAACTTTATGCACTCAGTAAAGTGGGTATGTGTGTTTTTCGAAGTCATGTACACTGGAATTGTGTTTTTAACAAATTGAGATCTTTTTGCATTAACAATCTTGTCTCAAAGACAAACGTTGGGCATACACATTTCTTGTAGAGATTTATTTAAGTGGCTGTGAATTAATATAAAGACAGGTTTAATCACAAGTTTCTATACATACAATGAGAAGAAAGTTTACTTGTGATATATCTTCTCAGATTCTTGCATAAGGCTGCTTTTGTAAGATGCTTTGATTCTGATTCTAACATCTTTTTGCACACTATATATCCTGCTGGTTTGTTGCTGACTATTTAAACAGAACAAAAAATTACAATGTCATCTTTAGAATAAATATAGTGACAGGATTTAGCCATAATCCGGTTGCTTGGTTTTGGCCTAGGTGACCATAATCTGTGACTCCGGTCAACAAACCATGGTTAAGCAGCCCTACCTTGATGTATAAATCTAATAATTAGTTTGTACATCAGAACCGGGTAGGAATATTCTGTTATCTTAAATATAGGCCCATGCACCAGCAAGTTTAAGAAGTTTTTATAATTCGTTTACATGGTCAGTTGTACTGGAATTGTTTCCTCTTTAATTCCCCCCTGAATTAAAAATGAGCTGAAAGACTATTTACAATATCAATAGTGACAATTGGCCTCATTCTGTTATGCTGGGATTTATGACAGCAGCAAGTTTGATGCAAACTGTAGACAAAGTTTGAGGTTTCCAGAGAATATTATAACTGATAGATGTACCCAAGGTAGCTGACATGTCCTTTAAGAAATGGAATGTATTATTGGTGGCAATTGTTATCTCATGATTACATCTAAAGTATAACAATTTCTAGATTTTAATATGTAATTCATTAGTAAAAGTTATGATAACAAAATTTGATTGCATACAGAAAAAAAATCAAAATGGTACTACTATTTGAAGGACAGCCATTTAAAAAAGACTATTAGATTTATTATTGCTTGTGTTTTTAAGTTCTAAAGCATTTTTTCATATGTGCAAAGTCCTGATTTTATTGATTGTGATATATACAATAGGCATAAAACAGGTCATTGTAATCTGCAGTTTCTACTTTGTATATGGTCCTCCAAAGCTGAAAGCAGGAAATAGACCATTCTCCCTGTAAATTAATGCCAGTAATTTGTTTAGATTTTTATCCTGCCTTTATTATTTTTATAAATAATTCAAAGCAGCAAATGTATCTAGTACTCCTCCTCCCACTATTTTCCCCCACAACAACAACCCTTTGATGTGGGTTGGGTTGAGAGAGTGTGGCTGGCCTAAAGTCACATCGTCAATTTTTCATGCCTATGGTAGGCATGATACTCTAGATTTCTAACCACTACACCAATCTTACCTTTTAATCTTTAATCAGTTATTTTTTGGGTTGGTTCCGTTTACTTTTGGACTACACATTCTCCATAATACTCAGAAAATTCCTCAGCACCAATAACCATTGTGAAAATACAGTGATAATCCCTTGCCACTCACCAAGTATCTGCTTTTTGAGGCAGCTACTTCACTCTGCCTACTGGCCCTGTTTGTAATGTCATGATACATTGCTCCTTTCGGTTTGGATATATAGTAACTGAGATTGCATTTAAATTTGTGTAGGGGTGACTGCTTTTTGTTGCTGACCTTTTTGTTTTCAAGATTTTAGGTATCAAACATTCCTCCATTATCCAGTAAAGGTTGGTGTAATCTAATAATTGCAACATTTAATTCATTCATTATGTAATGGCCAGCCTTCAAAGTTTAAATTACAGAATTTATTGCTATAGTAACCTGGCCTAATTTTTGAACTTTGTATTCTCCCCCCATCCTCTGTGTGTTGTCTGATCAGATGAGATTATCTGGGGAATATGCAAGCTGCCCACTGTTCTTAATACTGTGGCTATGTGTTATTTATTGTCCAGTTTATTAGTTACTTGATATTGGGGTATTGTCTACAATACCCCTCTCTCCTCCTTACAAACAGGAACTTTTTGCCATATACAGGTAGTCCTCAACTTAACAACCACAATTGAGCTCCAAATTTCTGATAAATGAGTTCTGCCCCATTTTACAACCTTTCTTGCCACAGTTGTTAAGTGAATCACTGCAGTTGATAAGTTTAGTAACCCAGTTGTTAAATGAATCTGGTTTCCCCATTGACTTTGCTTGTCAAAAGGTTACCTTGGGACACAGCAGTGGTCATAAGTACGAACTAGTTGCCAAGCATCTGGATTTTGATCACATGGTCATGGGGATGCTACAAAGTTTGTAACTAAAAAATGGTCATAAGTCAGTGTTTTCAGTGCCGTTGTAACTTTGAATGGTCACTAAATGAACTGTTGTAAATCGAAGATTACCTGTATCTAAAACAACTCAGTGTTTTCCCATACAATTTTTGTACAGCTGATATTTTAAAGATTGCAGCATTAAAACCTGAAAACTATTTATTCCCCAACAAAACTCCAAAAAATCTTTAGTGTGGGTTGCAAATTAGTATTTTTTCATTAATATTTTTAAGAAACTAGAACCAAAATCTCTTCTAATAATTGATTGCAAAACCTGGAAAATTATGAATGGTGACTATTTTTTGTCTTTCAAACGCATAACTTTTTCTTCAAAATATTACAAGCCATTTGGTTTACCATTCAGTCCTTTGGGCCCCAACAATTATTTCTGTTTTGCAATTATGCATACAGTTGTGTTAAAATCTATTGACTGAGAGCATCATTCATACCTCTGATGCAATGATGCCTAATTAGTTGTACTATAATAGAATTATAGTTTTATGTCATGTTTTATGACTTAAGTTTTGTTTTATTTTACCTTTTGGTTTATTTTAACATATGAACATATGTTCATATGTTAACATATGAATACAGCTGTTCCTCAAAATTTCATGTCATGTTTCTAGTTCCTTATCTTTGGGCTTGAATTCTATTTCTCTAGCAGCAAAAGTAACATTCATTTTAGTTGACCTGAATAAAATACTCCTCAAGTAAATGCAAGTATAGCAACAGTTTTGAAAGTAGATATTTTGGCATTAATGCAGTTGAAGAAAAAGTATACTTTATTTATTTATTTATTTATTTATATACATATATATTATTTTATTGTTTATATTTATATCCCGCCCTTCTCCTTGCGGACTCAGGGCGGCTAACAACCAGATAAAAATGCAAATCCCAAAACTACATATATAATTTCTCAATTTATCTGTTGTTTCCTAATTCTTTGTATGCCGGTTCATGATCCTCAAGAGTCTTGATGTTAGTCTCTGTGTGTGCTTTTTAAGATTCTGGTTTACAATTTCATATTGGTTTTATGGATAAAGAAGATTGCCAGTCTTCAAATGAAGAAGGCTAAAGCAGTATTGTCTATTGTATTTTGAAATTACAGCAATTTGTAATAAACAGCTGATTTTATTTTTGATCAGATATTATGTCAGTATTCAAACCAGATTTTAAGGCTCTAAAATCATTCCTTTTTTATAGAGGATCTATAATCTAATTCTAATACTGCATTAGAATAATGCATTTCACTATAAAGGCATAATAAATGTGTGTTTTGATGTTCTAGTGGAAAAATACTGATTATTCTTCAGTAGCAGATTCTCATCCATTGAATTGAGAAAGTATATCTTCACAGACCAATTGTACACAGAGATATACCAGCCTAGAGAGTTTTTTCTATATACAAATATATTTTGCAGATCTATTTTATCCACATTTTATCCATAAGTGTTTTATATCAGTCAAGCCAACAACTGTAAATAATCATCACAGTAAAAATAATAGATAGAATATAAACTAGGTAGCAAATATTAAATCCCCTTAAGACCAAAAAATGGTAAGATAAGGCAAATATAGCTAACTCCAAATAAAAATGCAAAGTTATGGTTTAAGTTAATATTCAAACTATGATTTATACTGACCATGATTAAATATTACATCAATCAAACAACTTATATCAAACAACTTTATGTCCTGGATTTTTGCAGTGCTAAAGCTGCTGAACATGCAGAGAAGTTAGCAGTTAGCACTTATTTGAACAATTCATACTTATTTGGGCAATTCATATTGTGTCTGAGTTATAACTAGTTTCTCTTTAGTTTCTCTTGAGACTAATTTTGTCTAAATTACAAAGTGTGCCTGTTAAGTTTTTCCAATTTTTTTCTTGATTTCTAAAAGAGTTTTAAATATGGTGATCTGTATGACCTCAGACATACTTCATCTAAATATTATTTGGGATATAATACATCCCAAATAATAATAATTGCAATGATGTGCCAGAAATAATTGAGTTGGTCTTGAAATTATTTGAATTAGTTTATTTGAAATATTTATTTGGAAGATACAATTTCAAGCATCCATTTGACAATTTAAAAAGGCAGGATAAAATGGAAAAGGCCCAGAATTAGTGGGCTTTGTTTTTTTGGGAGAACTG